ATAATATATATATAGTATTATGTATGTATGTATCATTATATGATATAAATAGTGATATATATCATACAATGCTGTATATCTATTTATCTGCTCTGAACATTGGCAATCTATAGAAATATGACAAGCACATTTAAAAAAAAAGCAATTACAGTCCATATGACCTAATTTATCCTTAATCCAATGAGCAGAATAATAAATATAGCATCCATGCGTTTAAATATCATCCAAACAAAAATTCCGGTTTAATTTCATACAAGACACAAATAAAGGAAAATATGATGTACAATCATTTTGATAATTGTGAACGTATGTAAGTGTTTACAGAGTCCATTATTCTGTATTCCAAAGCAAATTGAACTAGATATATAAACAGTGTGATAGGAAAGTGTTCATTCGCAACTAAATGACTACAGGTGTTGGTTTTTGCTATTATGTACATCAGTTTAGTGATAACATATTGTAAATACACCAAAATTAACAAAAATAACCATGCTTTTTTAATTGAGACACAGTAACGGAAAACGAAATAACCTGTATAAGATTTCTGATACCTTAACCACACAAAAACTAAAATTAGCTGTTTACCTGTTAATGAAAAAAGAGAGCGATCATTTTCCTACTTAAACATCTGAAAAAAAAAATTTTCTTCTTCATTTTACTCAGCAATGGAAGACCCGCCAAAATAGTGGTAAAGATATCGAAAGAAAAAACATTAATCCCAAAGCACACTTCTTTCTTTTTTCTTAACTAAACACAAAATCACGCCTTGGTTACGAGTTAGTGCACACGAACACCACACAATCTCCGAACTCACCCCTAACTCTCCTTGGTTGCTTAAGCCCTAAGCACACCAGGAACTTTTCACAACCTGCTGCTGGTTCCTCCGCTAGAACGCCAAAAAATGCAAACTTTACCTATTGCAATTTCTAGGGATACGATACAGCTTTTCATTATTTTTCTTTCCTTGGATGTGTGGAAAATCGAAAGTCGCATTTATTGTTTTTCTCTTATATCGAACGAAAAAATGAAGAGGAAAAAGAAAATTTTCCTTTTTGGGCGTACGTAGAAGGAAAAAATGATAATGCTTTAACAATGGTAGATTCGTCCCCCCAATTCCAACCTTGATAATCCGTGCTTTGTCTCACATTGTTATGAAAATGCGCTAATGTGTCACTATTGTGTGTTGCTGAATAACGGAATAAAGCGTTCGGATTCGCTCTATTATGAATATATTTCCTTTGGATTTAATGGTACCTTTGTTTACGATTTATGGGTGATATTGTTTGCTGGTTGGGCTATACAATCAGAGGAAAAAGAGAGAAGAGGGAGAGAGGAGAGGGAGAGAGAGAGGAGAGGGAGAGGAGAGAGAGAGGGAGAGGAAGAGAGGGAGAGGATAGAGAGGGAGGAGAAGAGAGGGAGAGGGAGAGGGAGAGGGGAGAGAGAGAGAGAGGGAGAGGGGGAGAGCGAAGGGAGAGGAGAGGGATGAGGGAGGGAGGGAGAGGGATGAGGGGAGGAGGGTAGAGGGAGAGGGAGGGAGGGAGAGGGAGATGGGAGAGGG